AATATTTTACACTCTTTTTTTAACACCCTGTATGTTGTAGAACTTATAAAAATAAGACACGTATTTTTTTTATCAGCGGAAAAACATATTGTGAATTCTGGTGCGTCCTGCTGATTAATTATTATTAGTTATTAAGTTACACACAATATTTACAATTAGCAACACTTTTATTTTAAATATTAAAACTCACGACAAAAAGGTGTGAGGTTGGACCGAAGACCCTGTTCGTGAGTGAAGGATTCATTCGAAAAAGTACACACAAAACGATCGATTCGCCGCTCGCTTACGCTTTTGTTTTTTTAATTTTGTGCCGTCTTGGTCATTCTGGTGCCGTTGGATGCTTGCTGCAGATAAGGGGTAAGTGTTCAGCTTCTCATTCGAAATTTTCTTTAATTTTTTCATACAGTCCACAAACGCAACACCATCAAAACAGTTTTTTCTAAATATCTAAGGTTCTAATCAATATTTTGGAATGAAGCAAAATGGAAATTACTTCTTATAAAAAAAACAAATGTTTCACGAGTGATTCCGTGTTTGGGGGTTGCTGCCCTTATTTTTTGTTTCAGTAAAACTATATTTTTTAAACATTTTTTATATATAAAAAATTCATATTTGCTGAAAGAGAATTAAACATATGATTTATGTAAACAAATTAATAAAATTAAATTGATCTGTTTCGGTGTTTTCATTACAATCTCTTCTTAGAGGGTGAACAACCACCTATAGTAGGATCGTATTCGATGCAAAGTAGAGCAAAAAGTTGTCTGTCTTTTATCAAAGGAAAATCGTGTCATCATTTTTAGGAGGCATAAGATGAACCATTTCAAATTTAAAATTCATTCATTCGTTCATTCATTTTTTTAGTAAGATTATGAAAAAAAATCGAATGAGGATCATGTTCCNTACTTACTATCAACAAACACGGGTCACATAAACAAAGCATGACCCTAAGATTCTTTATAAACCTGTTTTATTTCATTTATTTTAAATTATGATTAATAATGACAATAATTATTGGACAGATATTTATGGTACATCTCAATTTTTTAATTTCGTTCTTTTCTATTCCGTTTTAACTATCTATTAAGATACACTGTTGCCCTCAATACAATACTGGTGTATTATGAAATACAACTTTATGTAAAAGTCATATGTTTTAAGCTTATGCCTTTAACAGCGGAAGCGTTGATGTTATTCGCTGGTGATGAACTGTGGAGCAGACAGTTGAGTAGGACAGAGAAGTATGGAGTCCATGGTGTTTTGGCCACCATAGGGATTTTATGCCTAATCGTAGGGAATCTACCTGGAATTTATTACATAAAACCAGGATTTCCCTTGTATACAGTGCATGGAATAACAGGTAAATGTAACATATTCTCAAAAATAAACAGCAAGTAACTTGTAATAAATAATGTAAGAAATAGGCCCCAAAATAGACCCCTAGGGCACCCCGGGAGTACAATGAAGTTTTATGTCATCTAATCACTACCTTATGCTAAATTTACATTAAAAAATATCCTTTTACTGTGCCACATAATGTTTTTTAGGTCTGGTATCGATGGTAATTCTGACCCTGTCTATATTTTTGGGTCTGTCGGTGAATTACTCTCAAGAAATGAAAAACTTTTGTTCTCTGAAGCCAGTTTGCTACAAACTTATTCACAATATGACAGGATTGACAGGTTATGCTGTAGGAATTGCCAGTTTATGTTACGCTTACTTCACAGATTGGTTTATTTTGTATAATGGAGACATATCCAGGATGACGGCACTCATAGTAACCATACTAGCTTCATTGTGGTCTGTAAATAAAGCATTGGTGTCATTGTATGGTCAAATAAAGTCTGTGATTTTTTAAAAACGCGTTTTGATTGATTGGCGGGTGCAGTTTCGGGATTATTTGTCCTTGTCAGAGAACTTTTTGTCTTCACTGGACGAGAGTGTACGTTGAAAAGGTACAGAAGAACTTAGGATCTACACGTAAATTACGATAATGATGATAACTGCAAATCATTAAAGGTCTTTTATCAATCTACGTGCATCTTATTTCTGAAAGATATAAAAATTGATATTTATTGATAAAAGATTAGATATAAATATAATTAGATTTCCTCACTGCCCTCTCGTAAAACTGATAATAGATAATAGTTTCTTGCTTTCTTGCGCAAGAATAAAAAAAATTATCAATATTTTTAATAAACAATGGAAATATACGAGGGCATTTGAATAATTTTTAGTGAAAGACATTAACCAAACCAAATTATTAACTAAATTATCGACGCTGTTCTACATTGAGAATGAATTCATTTCTAAAATATTTGTTAAGCAATAAAGTCATCTTTAAACATTTGGTGTGATATTAGTAGAATAATTTACAGAAGTAGAGTAAATATTCTTCGACCTTGTTTATTTTCATTGTATTTTTACAAAGTAGGGTTTCTGGTCGAGACTTCTCGAAGCGAGAATTCCCGGGAAATCTGGTCTTACTCGAGACGAGAAAAAAGTGTCGAGAAATCGAGAAATCGAGAAATTTAAAGATCACGCGCGTCTTAAGTTCTTGACTGGAGATCGTTTCGTTCATGCGTTCAATTCGTTTCTCGACATATAACTGACCGGTTAAAGTGGTTTCTCTACCAGCTCATGATTTATTTATTTTAAGTTTTTAAGGCTTTAGTTTATTTTGATGATTCTTATTTTTTTAATGTACAGGGTGATTCACTATATTTTAACTCTCCCTTTAACTTTTTTGTTTTAAGAGTTATAAAAAAATGTGAAATACAAAAGTTGGACGATTTTTTATGAAGTTTTCGAAAATGATAGTAGAAAAACAAATGAAGTTCAAACAAAATGGCCGCGGATGTTAACTTTGTTAATTTAAATGGAACACCCTGTATATTTTTACATATTTGGATAGAACGTTCTTGTCGAGCGATAAGTCATATAGCGTTTGTTGGGTCCATCTCTAATAATAGGCAAGATAATATTAAAAAACGAAATGATGTTTTTTTTATTAAGAAAATAAGACATCTTGTAATTGTTAGACCTCTTTCAGCTTTTTTCCAATTACGTAAGGATTTAGATTTAGTTGTAATATATTTTGACATATCGGACATTGATATAGTCCAAAATGCGTATAGGTATTTTAAGTAAATCTCACTAATTAGACCGT